TGAGGCTTAGGAGAGCAAGGGAAGAGATCTTAAGCTACCACGAAGGAGGAGAGAATAGCTAGAGAGCTAGAGATGAGGAGAGCATCTTGAGGCCTTGTATCATGGTGTCGCTTGAGAGGGAGGTTATAGAAGGAAGATGAAGGCTCATCTCTATGTATAAGTTATGTATTCTCCATTTCATTTGCCTTAGTGAACTATTTGATTGATTCCCTTCCGTGGACGTAGATCCAGTTGGATTGAACCACGTAAACGATCTGTGTTTGCTTATGTTCTTTTTCATCTCATTTCTATGTCAGGAAGTAAATATCTTACAACAGTTTCCATTTTATTTAATTGTCCAAAAAATGTATTTGTATATTATACTTTTTTAGTGAAGTATTAAAAAATTTATTGATATGCAGATGATCATGGCGCTCCCGTGAGACGTAGAGGACGCACTACATGTCATGGCGCAGAGTTTCACATCGAGGCTAATAAAAATGTTGTGCCGTATAATATTCCAGAGTCTGAATTATTGGGGTCCTATATATGTTTTATTGCTAGACACCCAATACTTGTACCAATTTCTTTCTCAGACGGACGCAACAAAGGAGTGGAGCAATTCAAGAAAAGATTGTAAGCTGAAGTTGAGATAATATATATATATATACATATATATATATATATATATATATATATTTGGCAATCATTAATAATTAGTTTATTTATTGAAGTTAGTAACTTACTTTATTTTCATCAAATTGAGTCAATGTTTGAGATTCCTGAACACATTCAACATTTGGTTCTTCAATTTTTGGGTTCAAAGTTTGAGATTCTTGGACACATTCGATATTTGGTTCTTCAATTGTTCGGTTTGAAATGATAAAATCACAAGACTAATTTGAAAGCAAGCTGGTGAGATAGTTGATGCATTCAGGAAATTATGAAGACAGTCCCTTGGTGAGTCGATGGGGTGCCATGGTGTTAATTAGTGAACTAATGGTTTTATATTCATGTCTAATTTCATTAAATGTAGAATTAAAATAGTTTTTTTCTTTGTAGGAGAGAGCGCAAAGAATAGTAAAAAAGCTAAAAAGCAAACATGTCCTCATACCATGGGCCAAGTTAGTTTTGTTAGGAGATGGAAAGAGACGATATGAGTTAACTATCTAAATTTTCAATATTACTGGACGTTAATTTTCTTATATATATTATTTGTTTAGGCCATTCATGATAGATTATAATTATGGAGAGTAAGTAGAATATGTAAAGATGACTCATGGACTTCTGAGGACGCTACGCTGCAATTAGTAAAGGTAATTATGCTTCTTTATTTTATTAAGTTTAACTATTTTGATTAAAATTAATTAGTTTCAAAACTTTTAGGCACAATCTAGTGTTCCTCTTGAAGAAGAAGGTTGAAAGCCAGAGGATGGTACATCGAGGCAAATGAGAAGGTGTTCATGTTAGCGTCCTGAACACCCGATAAGAGTACGGACGCAGAGGTTTGGTGTGGCCCCAACATGATACTTATAGCACCATCATCGTAGGAGAGAGAGCTGCAGAGGAGGTAGCTTTGCCCAAATTACCCAACTGCAGGATTAGATACAATGTTTGAGATCTGAGGTATGAGCTGCGGCCTTACTATATGAGGAGTTGAGAGAATTTATGCAGCAAGTTCATTCGCATATTTCAACAATTGGGGATTCTACTATAGTGCTTGAAATTTGCAGATTTAATTTTTAAATCATGTTTATAAATTAAAATATTATTATCTAATAAATATTGACTTGATTGTAGGGTGTTAATGATTGATCATCTGATGATCAACATTGAAGAAGTTAGAGAAAAAAGATTTGATATTTTTTTTTTCTGATTATTTGGGATTGCATGTTATTGTCATCATTATGACAATCTTTATGTGTATGATAAACTTGATAATTATCTTTTTCTCTAAATTTTTCTTTCTTTGTTTCGGACATCTTAATGAAATATTGTTTTTCTTCTTTTTAAGATCATTTTTTGTATTCTAGGGAGTGGCTAATATTTCATTCTCTATTTTTATGTGCAGTGTTTGGATATACCATGGTTCTGCTTTTTTACTTTATATTTGTTGACCTCATTTTTGATCAATTATTTCTTGACCAAACATTTTTGCCAATCCTTTAATGGGAAAACATTTCATGATGGCATGTTTACTGAGCTTGGAATAAGCTAAAAAGCCTCAAAACCCTACACGCATAGCCACACCACGTGGTTACATCAATGCGCCTCTTGCAGCGTGGTAATGCCTTAAGTGGCGTAACCATGCCACCCTACCCAATCGTTGCTGATCCAAACCTCTCTTGCTCAATTTCGAAGTCCCACCAATGCCTCTATTCCCTATATGATACTCCTATTTGCCTCTAAACGGAGAAATCTATGCCTTCCTCCCTCCCTTGGGTGTTTCTCCACTCCAATGCTTTCGTTCCTCTCCTCCCCAGTGTTCTTCGGCGTTCCACTGTAAGTTCTCTTCTTGTTCCTTCTTCTTCTTTAATTATTCTACTACTTCTTCTCCTTCATTTAACATTTCTTCTTATATTTCTTCTCTACTCCTTCCTTTGCTAATTTTTCTTTTGTAGTTCTTCTCTAATTATCATCTTCTTCCACTCTCTTCTTCTTTGGTACTTCTTCTTTAATTATCACCTTCTTCTTCTGTACTTCTTCTTCATCTTTCTTCATCTTCTTTTGTATTTCTTCTCTAATAATCATACTCTTCTTCTTCATTTCCTTTTCCACACTTCTTCTTCTTCTCCATACTTTTTCTCCCATCTTCCTCTTCAATTGGTCAACATACTTCATACCCTTCTTCTTCCTTGTTTTTCTCTTCACACTACACTCTTCATCTATTCTCAGTGAAGTCATTTTTATGTAAAGTTTATCTTCCACTTTTTGTGATATAAAGTTAATATATTCTATGTGTGCTCACTTTCATGTATCTTCACATAATGTTTACTTTCATATGGTTTTCCTATGCGAATTTAACTTGGTTTTCATTGAAACTTAATATGTGCTTTACCCTTACACATTATTTTCTTCCATGTCAATTGTTGTACATGTTTTTACTATTTATTCCTCTATATGTTTCTCCATGGATTTTCTTGTATATTTTCGATGCAATTTTCGCTTACAAGTGAAACCATATCCATGTGCTCTTTATGTCTTTATGCATGTGAAATCAAAGTTCCTTCATGTATTTTCTCTATGTATGTGAAAGTTAAGTAACCTACATTTGTTTTTCTTATGTTTAAGAATGTGCAAGTGAATTCTTATTCATATGTGTCCTTATGTCTCTATGCATGTGAAATCAAAGTAACATCATGTGTTCTCTCTATGTATTTAACCTACATGTATTGTTCTTTGTTTAACAATGTGCAAGTATTCATGTGTTTTCCTTATGTTTTCAAGCACATGCAAGTGAAGTATTTTGTGTGTTTCTCTATGTCTTTAAGAATGTGCTATTGAAGTGACCTATCCATGTTATTTTTTTATGTCTTTAAGCATGTGCAAGTGAAGTCTTTCATGTCTCTTGTCTTTAAGCATGTGCAAATGAAGTGACCTATCCATGTGTTTTTCTCATGTCTTTAAGCATATGCAAGTGAAGTTCTATTGATGTGTGTCCTTTATGTTTTTAATTGTGCGCAAATGAAGTCCTTCATGTGATTCTTCTTATTTCTGAGCATGTGAAGTAGAAATGACCATGCAATCTTATTTATTTCTTTTTAAGCTTGTGAAAGTGAAGTAGAATTCATGTGTTTTCCTTGTGTCTATGCATCTAAATTGAAATAACCTTCATGTTCTTTCCTTATGTCTAAGCATGTGTAAGTGAGGTGACCCCCATTAAAAAATAAAAAAAAATAAAAATAAAATAGAAATTAAAATAAAGAGAGAGAGAGAGAGAGAGAGAGAGAAGGAAGAGAATCTCTAATGTGTAGATTATTTTTGTAGTGGGCAAATATATTATATGACGTGTCATTTGTGAGCTCCGATGATTAATATATAATAATTTGCAAACTCACATAACTTGTGGGCTTAAATTCAACATAATTCAAAAACTCAAATTTAAAACACTCAAAATTATTTTATAATCTATGTTTTAAAAACTCTAAAACATGTTTAAAAAATCTCAATATCTTAGCTTTGAGACATTTTAAAGCACTTTAAATAAAATAAAATAAAATAAAATAATTTAAAATATCAAACACTTCAATTCATTTAAAATAAAATCACCTAATCTCCAACTTTTAAAACACTTTAACAAAGCCTTGATCCCGCTATGTGTGGTCGGCTACATGAATCCTTTTTCTCGATTGTGATTGTGTCCTATTTAGTGATTGTGTCCTATTTAGTGTCATATTTATGCATATAAATTTCACCCCACTAATCTCAGTTCTCTCCCACCTTTTCCCTCCAACCTCAGGCCTCTACCTCATTACACTTGAAGTCCCTAAACCCGGTTGCAGCATTCAAATCTACATACATATCATTCAATTCTTTCGTATTTACCTGTTTAATGCCTAAACTTCAAATCTACATGCATACCACTGAATTTCTGTGTATTTACATACCTGACTCGTAAGCATTCAAATCTACATACATACCATGAAATTTATGTTTGTTTATTATATATATATATATCTAACTCCTGAATATCTAAATTACATTCATGCCAAGCAATTCTCATGTATTTACATGCATACCACTTGCAATTTGTACATAGATGCAAAGCAATTCTCATGTAAACATGCACGGCACTTGAAAATTTACATGCATGTCATTCAATTCGTATTTATTTACTTGCTTAACACTTAAACTTCACGGCCCACGTAGGGTTTAGGGGGGCAATTACCCCACCTCATATTCAGATTTTTACGTATATGAGATGATACTTTGGTCTTTTGTCCCTCCTGAAATATCAGTTTTCCCTTCCTAAAATATCACGCCGCCATTCGTTTCCCAAGCCCATCCCACGTTTGGTTGGGGATCAGTTTGCCCCCTAAAAAAAAAAAAAAGGTTAGTTCCGCCTCCGAGGGCTATTCAATACTTATGTAATTAGATATTTAACACCTAAACATTAAATTTATATATGCGTCATTCAATGTTACATGCTTGAAATCTAAACAATATTTACCTACATATCATGCAACTATTATGTATTTACATGCTTAAAACCTGTCCTTGAATTTGCAGAAACACCACTCCAAATCCCCTCCAAACCAGCTCCAAACTAGCCCCTAAACACCACTCTAATACCCTCCAAATCAGCCTTAAAATATCCCCTAAAAACCACTCCAAATCTCTTCTGGATAAACCCCAAAACAGCTCCTAAACACCACTCAAAACCCACCTAAATGCGGCCCCAAAACATCAATTTTCACATATAAACCATTTTACTTATGGATGAAAGTATGCTTGAAATGATGGTATTTTTGCTATAATGTAAGTGATGTTTTTGATGTGATGCAAACTTTGAGTGATATTCATAAAGCCCAAGTGTTAGACTAAACTTTTGATGTATTCATATATGTGATGCCTAAACTTTCATAACTATCTCTATAATACCATGGTGTGATGAATGCATGCATGGTAATGTATATTTTACTTTTGGAAAATTAATGAAACTAAATCAAAAGTAAAAGACCAGACCCAAGAAAATGAACTAAAATCCACAAACTTAAATCAACTCCAAACAACAACTAGGTGGATGATAGTCAACATAGAAGTGAAAATTAGGCCCATACACTTCTAGATTAGTCCATCTTAGAAGCTTGACTTAGATTACACTACTGAAATTAAGTAATTTTGCATCGGCCAAATCGGATTGTGTCAGCCTAATCAGACGTAAATCAAAGGCTAATCTAACAATAATTTAGTTTTATCATCGAATTTGTGACTGACTTAATCTCAAATTTTTCTGCGGGTACATCCGAATGTTAATTAGGTTAATTTTGCGTTGAAGTATTTCAACACAAATAAGTTATATCATTTTTTTGTGTCTTAGCAGCGCCATATTTGTTTAGTGTACCATTGCATTGAACTTTGTGTCTGAAAACATCAGACGATAAAGATTATCATTAGATTACTGTCGATTTTGTGACGGATAATGACGATCAACGACGTAATATTATGGTTGATTTAGCATAAAATTTTTCGACGCAAAATGAATGATAATTCGACGCAAACGATACCATAGAAAAAAGAATTGAGAGGATCAATTATATTTTCACAATTTGCACACAATATTAATTACATTTCCACATCACATTCTATCCAGTCATATTGGAGATTAAATCTCTAAAAATATCATTAATAAAGAAGAATATACATTAAAAAATCATCTCAAATAAGAATAGTAAAGTTAATAAAAAAAATTTCACAATAATATTCAAAATAAAACTTTCAACTAAAAGAAAACATAAAAATAAACTACTCAACATCTCCCCCTCCTCCTCTACGGATGCCATTAGCTGCTTTCCCCGACAATATGTTAAATTCTCTACCATGCGCACTATAGAGCCCTCAACCCTTTGTTGGTCTTCTAGCATCTGCTCCCGCAATTGGCAAATTTCTTCGTTTATTGTAGCCACCCTAAATGGCAAGAGCCTCTTGGTCTGGTTGCGAGGAGCTCATGGACCTCAGCATGGGACCACAGGAGAGCTCGGCCTTGAAGGCTATGCCCTTCGTTCCAAGGCCATAAACTCTCTCCTTCTTCTTCCCCGGTGCCTGAGTCCAAAGCTCGTACTCGGACTGTGCAATGGTGGACTGACTACCACTGTTGGTGGTGAAAGACCGGGCCTTAGTGGGCAAGTGCCTCTCCCGGAGCTGCTCAAACTCCTTCTGCATAATTAAAACCAGTGTTTAGTTGACACTTTCAACAGTGTTGAATCAAA